CCCACTAGGCGGTTTTGCAAACAAAGTTTAATTTAAACACAGCTACATTTATATATTGTCTTTGAATGCCTTTGCTCTATATTAGCAGAGTTGAAGAGCTGTGACAGATATCATAGAACTTGAAAAATTTAAAATATCTGTTCTTCATAGAAAGCCAAAAATAATTACTCTTTTTTATAAACGTTATTTGATACAGGTTTTCTGTGCACTGGTTACCACTTCAGCTCATTTTCTTCTTGGACTTCAGCTCACTGCACATTTACTACTAGCTCAAGTCCAACGAGACAGAGCACTCACTCATACCACAAGTTACATGAAGTTGGTTTATTACTTCCAGATAGGCAGCAAGGGACAACAGAAGCCTAGGATTCATGATAAGCTGGTTCCCCACCACTCCATCTGTTAAAGCCAGATAGAGCCTTACTGCTGTGCCCCACTTGCACCACACCTGAGGGACCCCAGAAAGTGACCTGTCTTGGGTTTTATACCTTGGCGGGGGGGGTGGGTCTCATGGCATAATAGGCCAAAGCATTGAAGAACATTCTGTTTCTAGGAAAGAAGGGAACAGAATGAGGCTGCTCCAGTGAGTTCCTCCATATCTCAGGATGTTGCATTCCAGCACACTCTTCAGTGATTTTGGAAGACTACAAGTGAGCAGGTGGGGAGAAATGGGTGAGTCCAAGGCCATCAAGAGAATTATCCTGCATATTATGGAAAACGTTTGCTAAATGCAGTCTAGAATGTAGTGTAAACTTCCTAAGTGATTTTTGTGCTAACTTGAAGAGTCCAGAGCATGTGCAAATGGTTGCAGCTTACAGAGTGGTGGCTGGCAATGTTTCTGTCTAATTAGAAAGCTATCATGTAACAGTTTATTTAGCTTTGCTAGTCTCTCCCCAGCCATTAAATTGCTAATCAGAAGATTGTTTTATTTTACCATAACTATTGTCCAATTTTATTGTAATTATTTCCAGTGTTTATAAAATGGGATTAATAATGATATGGAAGGGGGGCAGGGAAGTGCTGGGAAGGGAAGGGCGTGGTCCCTGGTTAGGGCTCCACATCTAGGCTTATGCCCATGGACCTAGGTGAGGACAGGCACTCCAGCCTTTGTGCCCAAATGTTGCACATCCTAAGACCACCCTGACCCACCACACCCCCATCCTGTGCCTATAAAAACCCCGAGACCCTAGAGGGCATGCACACAAGCATCTGGACGTTGACAGGAACACACTGGCAGAAGAACATACAAGTGGCTGGACGTCGAGAGGACTCCAAGAGCACACCGACAGGCACCGGCAGGCCAGCAGACCGTTGACCAGCGCAACTACGTGGAGTTTGGCCTGGGCGATTAGAGGGGAGCCTGGCCACTGAGTGGCCTGACTCTAGGGGAAAACCACGTTCCCACTCCATCTCCCTTCTGGCTCCCCCATCTGCTGAGAGCTACTTCCACTCAATAAAACCTTGCACTCATTCTCCAAGCCCACGTGTGATCTGATTCTTCCCTCACGCCAAGGCGAGAAATCCCTGGATACAGAAAGCCCTCTGTCCTTGTGATAAGGAAGGGGGCTGTGATAGAGCTAACACAAGCTGCCTACAGATGGCAAAACTAAAAGAGCACGTGGTAACACACCCACTGGGGCTTCAGAAGCTGTAAGCATTCATGCCTAGATGCATCCATAAGTTTGGAGCCCCACAATCTGCCCGTCTGCATGCTCCCTGTAGAGCCTGGAGCAGCGGGGTGCCACAGAAACAAGCCACAACCCCATCACACACCCTGTGAGGGGGATAAGGGAACCTTTCCTATTTCAATAATACTCTCACTGTCATAATATATGTATGTTAAGGTATTCATGATGCAATTTTAATTTATGATGTGAAGTTTGTCTATATAGCACTGGAAGGGGTCCTCTTTTTCAGTAGTTCTGTATTCCTCTAGGTTCATCGTGTCTCCTATTTGCTGGTATTTCAATATTGTACATCTCAAAGCACAACACCTATGGATATAAAAAATCTAGTAATGATTTATTTCTGATAGTGGATAATTGGACATTTGATAGTAATATATTTCTAAAGAGCAAACTTCTATTACAATTTTCATTAGCGATTGATCAGATAGACATTTTTCAGTATGGAGGTTTTCTCTAATATGCTCCCTACTTGTTTTTTCCTGATGAACTTCAGCATTGGGAAGAGTTGAGGATTTAAATAGTAAAAAGCAAATTAAAAGTAGAATGAGAGAATAAAACATATCTTAAATGTTCATCATCATTAGAGTGAATTTTTGAGGTAGACCGGGAAGAAGAAGAATGTTTTTAACATTTTGTATAAGTCTTAAAGGTGTAGTAGTATCTTTTGAGGATGGGCATGAGCACAGGCTTTATAAGACACATGCAGATTGTGGTGAGTGTTATCGTTGCTCACATATGAAACTCAGCACAGATCATTTTTGTTTTAGGCTTTTTATTGAGTTTGTCTATCTTCCTTTGAGCAGGACGTGAGGGAATGGTGTGAAAAAAGGCTATCTGTTCACCCAGTATTCCTATTCATCATATTTTATCCCACATTTAACTTCTAATCCTAAAATATATACAAATATTAGCATTTTTACAGTTATTTTCCTGCGTATCTATTTCTTCCAACCAATTTACTTTCTGAAAAGTATTGAATTACTTTTTACTGGGTCAGCCTAAAAACATCACAGAATACAATAAATCCTTTTAATCTGACTATGTCCACACTTGACCTTAATCTCTTTGTTCATTTTTGGACACAAATATCCAGAACAAAATTTTATTTTCCTCAGAGCAAAGAAGCACTTTCTCTGGCTTTCATGTTTAACAACTCAACAACCTTTGGCTCAAGATTAAATACTTTATTGTGTCTACAGGCAGTTGCATATTTATTACTCCCGAGGCAGTGGTATTTGAAATAAATGGAATTGAATGACTCAGTGAAATAGTTTCTGAAATTCATGTATCTTGAGTTGCTCTATCTCAAAGGAAACAAAAATATTTCATATCCCTACTATGAGAAGAATAGCTCATATGAGAAACACCAGGGCTATAAAACTGAAGTAAATATTTTCTTGTGGCTCAGTTTTTGTTTGTTTTACTGTAAGTCTGAATTCTTAAAATCATTATTTTCCATATTTTTTTCTTTTCTTAAAACAGACAAGACTTATGTTTTTGAATTTTTCCAAGTTCATGTATTAGAATTACACAACATTCTTCAAATATACTAGGCATTCATCATTGTCATATGACTTTCACTAAAATAAGTTTGAATATTAAATATATGCAAGTTATATAATAAATATTTGTATATAATATACATATAGCATGTATATATAATATATGTAGGTATGTATGTATATACATTTGATGTATACATACTATTAATTTCAATCATTAATCCAACCATACTGGTCTCTACACTGTTTTGAGATGGACTAGTCACTGTTTTGAGGTGGGCCACACCTAGTCCTTTTCTTTTAGTTTTCCCTCTCCCTAGATTTTTTTTTTTTTAAACCAAAATATATCTGCATGATTTATTCTCTCCCTCTGAAAATCTCTACTAAAAATTCCATCATCAGAAAGCTCATCTATGACTCATATACTCTATTCTTATTGCCTTCCTTCATTATGTTTTTATAGCCTTATTACCGCCTACATTGTCTTCTCTCACTAGAAGGTTAGCTCCATTAGAGAAGGGATCATACACGCACACATGTGCGCGCACACACACACACAGGCACATAAAATCTCTGCAGGCTTACAACAATATGTGGAACAAAGCAAGAGGTTTGATTGGATGGTCAAATAAATCTTATTTGTTTCATATTGAATCTCAATACAACACCCTTAAATTATTTAATTTTATATTGTACAAAATTCATGCTTTTAAAAAACTACCAAAAGATAATAACTAGAAACTTAAAATTATTCAGTGTAAATAATTGTCTTTAAAACTACCTTTTCATGAGATTTTAAAGTATTGAATCATTATCATACTTATACTGGAATAGTGCATTAATCAGATAGCAACCTTTGGTCACAACACTACGTATCAACATAGTGTGCTAATATTACATATGACATTGAGTTTATAAAAAAGTTAAATAAAACTATGATTTAATAAAAAAATTAGAAAATGTGTGATACATTTAAGTGAATAGAATAAATGAATAAAATAAATGTTTTATTGCTGGAGAGGTGAATTGCCATTTAATTTAGCCAATATAAAAATTTAATTTCTTAACAATAGAGTTAATTTAGTTACTATTTTGTCTCATTAGTTAGTTATAATCTTAAAGTATGTGGATATCTAGGATAATGCTTGACTCTGCTTGACTTCCTGATTCTTTTTTTTAAATTTCTGTGAGTACATAATAGGTGTCCTCTTATCCATCAGTAATACTTACCAACCACTTGCATATCTGTCTTTTCCTGCTATTTTTAAAAACATGATTATTTCTGATTCTTATCAACCATCAATTCTTCAAGCAATTTTAAAATGTTTAAATTTTTCATCCATGAGGGAAATTTATAATATTATACTTCCAAAGGAAAAAGTTTTTTTATAACAGTAATTTGAATATACGATTTTTTGTATTTGTCTTTTTGAGTGTATGACTCTCTGCAACAAATATAAAGTTTATTTAAATATATTGATTTTATATAACTAGGGCATATATAAATGTTTCTAAACTTTTTATTCTTTCTGCTAGAGTATAACATGAACTTCTAGAAAAAAATTACAGTAAATGAAAATGGACATTTAGCAGAGCATTTTCTCATTGTGTAAATCCTCATTATTATCTTAAGAATAAAATAAAATGTCTTCTATAGTCTATTAAGATTCCTCTATTACTCATACCATAATTGGTTTTCAATTTCACCTGACCTCCAATCTATAGATATCTTCTTCATCTCAATCCATTAGGGCTTTGTTTTATGATTTTTTTTAGTTTTCACCTTTTAAACCATAATGAATACTGTGACGTGCTCTTCAGATCGTTTTGTACAGAAGAAGGATTTATTCCTCAAGCAGCTGTGAGTGGTGTGGGGGAAAAACAAAAAGCCCATAACTGTCACAGTTGTGGAGCTACCTATAATAAAGAAAGCCACATCATCCACAGTCACACCACCTCCCAGGGAAGTCCATATGTAATGACTGATCAACATGCAGTTACAAAGGCAAAGTTCCCAGCTTGAATCAACTCTGAAAGGTCATCCCAGATACTGAACTCAGAGCTTTGGCTAAATGTCCATGGAGACTGAAAGGTCATCCCAGATACTAAACTCATAGAGTTGGCTAAATGTCCATGGAGGCTGCATCACAGCTCAACTTCTCCTCTCTGATTTCTCTTCCATTTCTTTATACAAATATCAATCTCAAGAATGCTTCATATAAAACCTCTATACATTGATATGTATTCATATATATAAATCATATAACATATATATGGTTTATATATTGCACATATATGTTATATATATTACATATATGTTATATATACAAAACATGTATATAATACATATATGTGTTATATAAATATGTGCTATATATATCACATATATGTGAGATATATATATAACACAGATATATATGTGATATATGTTAGAGTTGGCTATGCAGGGAATTCAACATGCCAAATTTGTGCCAAGAGTCTGAGAATACACATATAAACCCGAGATTTTAGAGGTGTATCACCCATTGTCAGCTGTCCACAAGTACATTAACACTAATGCTTGTGTAGCAAAGAAAACTCTGGCACAAGATGTGAGTGTAACTGTTAAGATTCTCACTATGAGTAAGTTGGAATGGATTACAAGTGAAGAAGAATGCATTAACTGGTGCGTATACCTGGTATTTGAGAAATATGAAGGAAATGTGGAGAAATGGTACTTTAAATGCAATTGTGTATCTATTGCTAACCTGTGTTTTAAAAAAAGAAGAAATCTGAGTGATTAGTTAGAAATTAAAAGTTAAGCCGGGCGCGGTGGCTCACGCCTGTAATCCCAGCACTTTAGGAGGCCAAGACGGGCGGATCACGAGGTCAGAGATCGAGACCATCCTGGCTAACACAGTGAAACCCCGTCTCTACTAAAAATACAAAAAAAAATTAGCCGGGCATGGCGGCAGGCGCCTGTAGTCCCAGCTACTCGGGAGGCTGAGGCAGGAGAATGGCGTGAACCCGGGAGGCGGAGCTTGCAGTGAGCCGAGATAGCGCCACTGCACTCCAGCCTGGGCGACAGAGCGAGACTCCGTCTCAAAAAAAATAAAATAAAATAAAATAAAATAAAATAAAATAAATAAAAGTTAAGTATGAGATCCAGAGCAGTGCTTCAGTAGTATATAATGAAGTTGTTCTAAGGGCATAGAGAACTGAGGTTCAGGTCCAATATTCAATTATAAGAATTGCTGAACCCCAAAGAAGTTTACGTTTTAAAACTAGGCAGATCAGCTCTGTCAAGGTCAGAACCCTGTTTCAGATGAAAACACCAATGTGCAAATAAAAATCTTGAATTCTAAGATTCTTCTGAATTGTCTGTGATTGCAGATAAGCTGTCTCTTACTTTCTTGAATTAGTATCCCTCCATTGCTAGAAAGCAATCGAGAAGCCTCTCCTCTACTAGACAATATCTGCCTCCTTTAGGATATGCTGCTGTTTTCTCTTCTTATTATTAAGTTTAGGTCATAGCATAATCCATTGAGTGCCAAGGCTGGGCCTGATAAGAGAAGAAAGTAGGCTCCACTTCAAAGAAGCTGCGGGAACCACTCATCAGGTATGGTGTATACATGAGATTACACTCTGAAGGTGCTTGACCAAAGGAGAGAGCACATGGTAAAATAAGGACTTTTACTGACTTGAGATCGCTCGCTGGGGATAGAGAATTGAACACCCTGTTATAACACCAGAGGACAGTATGAAGGTGTTTCTACCATGATTCCTAGAAACATGGGTAAATGATGGCCTACACTGAATGAAGAAATGCCAGAATTTGAATGACAGATATAAAAGGATTAAAAGATTCAGAGATGTAGTTGTATTAGGATGGCTATTTAATACAGCTGGTAAAAACATCCAGAGGACTATATTACACTTGAGAACACAAAGGCAACACTATTAACCAAATCAGTAAGAACACTGCTGGGGAGAAGGGAACTAACTTCACTAAGACACTCACAGATTCCCTTTCTAGGCCAGGGCTTGCAGGAGAAGATATCTTTATAAAACTGTGTTCACTGATCCTAATGGGAATGACAGAACGTTAAAACCACAGAGGTCAGGTGGAAGTGCTAAACTGTTAAAAGATGGGCACACAATTATAAATAGTGTCAAGATCAGATGTGGGCCAGGGAGGACTGACTGACAGAGAGTTATAAAGATGATTCATAGAAACTGGTATTTCCAGAGTCAAAATAGATTAGCAGTCTATGCAAGTACTACTTTATCTATAATTCAAAATAAATAAAGGATGGATGAACAGGAGGATGAGCAATCTTACTAATAAGAAGTCATTGTTCCTTGCCCAGTTTTTGGTCATGAGCAAGTTTTCAGACCCAGGCACCTTCATTGAAGGCGAGGCCAGGTCCCAAGAAGAAAAACTATCTGTATTGCCATGAGAGGTGAACACGGTAATTATTCCCTCAGGTCTTCTTCAAAGCACCCGTGGCCATATGATTGATTATTATTTTTTCTTCTTTTTTTGAGATGGAATCTCACTCTGTCCCCAGGTTGGAGCACAGTGGCACAATGTCGGCTCACTGCAACAACCTCCACCTCCCTGGTTCAAGTGATTCTCCTGCCTCAGCCTCCTGAGTAGCTGGGACTATAGGTGTGTGACACCATGCCCAGCTCATTTTTTTGTACCTTTAATAGAGACGGGGTTTCACCATGTTGGCCAGGATGATCTCAAACTCCAGACCTCGTGATCCACCTGCCTCAGCCTCCCAAAGTGCTGGGATTGCAGGTGTGAGCCACTGCACCTGGCCATTACTGAGTATTTTTTGTGCTGGTAAAAACATTTCAAGGATTTGTGGCCACAGTGTCTGACTTGCATTGATACCTTAAGATCTCTAGTGTCATTGTGGCTCCTTATCAGAGTGATGGCATATGGTGGTCAGGTAACAAATACAGTCTTCAGATCCATGCTGATGATTTCTTCAGTCTCTGAATGTATAATGAGAAGTAAATACTTGGTGGTTGACACAAACCACATGTTGATTTCCTGGTCTGCGAGTAAAAAAATAATTGGAAAAGGCCAAATAGAACCTTCAGACCTTGCCCTGCCCCCACAAGCCAAGATGGTAAATAAATAAAATGTTGGTGCTGGCAAAAAGTGAGCTGGAGATTGGATCACAGCCGGAAGAGTAAAGGTGCTGCAGTAAAGGCTACCTGTGTCCATTTTGGATTTTTCACGAGTAGATTAATAAACTAAAAACTTTTTTTTTTTTTTTTTTTTTTTTTTTTTTTTTTTTTTTTTTTTTTTTTTTTTTTTTTTTTTTTTTTTTTTTTTTTAAACTAAAAACTTTCAAAAAAAAAAAAAAAGTCACATCCTGGATATGATGTCAAAAGTGAGTGTCACACCTAAAGACCTAAGGAATTCAGAGGTGATGATCCTCATTGTGTCTCTGTTTAATGTACCAGTCTGGTTCTTGCAAACACCAAAGGGATCTTAAGAGTATTATGGTAGACTGTTGGAAAATCAATGAAATAGTAGCTTCAATTGGAGTAATTTTGCCACATAGAGAATCTTTGCTAAAGCAGATCAAAATGTCTTCAAGTGCTTAATGGGATCTTGTTGTGTTGCCCAGACTGGCCTCGGGTGATCCTCCAACTACAGCTTCCCAAAGTACCGGGATTACAGGCATCTCAAAGTACTGGGATTACAGTACTTGACGTGCCTGGCAACTTCAAGTATATATTAAGTGATCACTGGTTAGGTGAAATTATAATTTTTAGAAACAGTTCACACTTAGTTGGACTGGACAACAGTGCCTAGTAATAGTCTTTTTCTAGGACTATGTTAACTCTTTTGCTCTCTGTCATAATATATTTTGAGGAGACCTGACCCTGTTGGACATCTCAAAGAACATCTCATTGTTCCACTATCTTTATGACATCATGTGATTGGACTGGATGAACAAGAAATGCCATGTGTATTGGAGTCCTTGGGAAGAATATGTGCTCCAGAAAGAGGGCGATAAACCCTATGCAAATTTAAAGATCTGCTACATAGTAAAATGTTTAAGTGTATTCAGAGTTTTGAGGCATGTATGGGGTCCATTCCAAAATAAACAATTTGTTATTGTACTTGGTACTTCCAACCACAAAGAAGAAAGTACAATGCCTGGCAGGCCTCTCTGGGTTCTGGTCAACATATTCCACACTTGGAAATGTTATCCCGAGCAATATGCTAGGTGAGGCAAGTGTATATCCACACTGTACTATAAGCAGCATTTCCTTTTATGCCACATGGCTCAGCAGACCCTATGGTATTAGAAGCTTTAACGATGGGGGAAGATCCTGTGTGAAATTTCTCACAAGCTCGATAGAAATATCTGAATCAAGCTCCTAGACTTCTGGAGCAAAGCTATGACATCTACAGTGCAATATTTCCTTATAAAAACAAGATCCTGATGTTTTTCTAGGTCCTGAGAAATGGCTACTAATAAAATATCAAATTACTATGCAGTGAAAATGGCTTACCATGAGCTGGATTCTCTTATAAGGATGGTTCAGGACCAACAGCAATTATCTTGCAAACTAGAATTTCTATACACAGAATCAAGTGTAAACAGAGTGTTGTAAATTTGTGCAATATAGTTGCTGCCTTAGCATCTATTTTTAGGCCTCACATAAGTTGTTTGAAACCCGGTTATATGCCAACATCTTTGGCCTAGTTAAAACTGTCCCTCCCTGTGTTGTTGCTTGCAATATAGTTTGCTTGTTCCTCATTGCCTTTATCCAACATCTAACACATCCTGCAGTTGATGACCATCATAAAACCTAATGGTCAACAACAGAGTTATGTAAATAAGCTCCCAGGCTTCCTGTCAGCATGCTCCTACATCGACTCCTAACCTCTCTGGGATCTGTAGGTAATATATTTCTTCTCTTTCTTGTATTTCGATTTCACCTCCTCTTGTGTCTCGCCTGCCTGACACACCCAAACTTGACTTTTCCTTCTTTCTTCTGTCAGGGGAACAGTGGCTATCTAGGCTTATGGTAACTCTCAGCAGAAAGACCTCAAGAACAAATTAGAAACAACTCATAACAATAGAAGTCACAATACAAGGCCAGGAATTACAAGCAGACCACAAAAAGAGTTGACCTAGAACCTCACGTAACACACCATTGTTGTACCAGAGCCTATTCTTCAGCTGAAACCCAGCATCTGTATGGGAGATATCTTCTGACACATGGCAATGGAGAAAAATGTCTGACCTTGCTTTACAATAGGTCACCTGAATAGATGATGAACGTATTACAGCCCCACTCAGGAGTAGCTAAGACAGTGGTGAGAAAAAATTGTCCTAATGGTCAGAATTTTGGGTGATACATCAGGTTATTCACACTGTATGGAAAGAGAAGTGACCCAAGGTTATGTATTCATAGCCAGTGATGTATGATTTCTCTGGCTTGTCAGTAGCCAATCAAGAGAGATATTAAAAAAGTTAGAAACTCTGGGGTAGAAAACTATAAATAAACCTATGAAAAAGGGAACCAACTAAGCAGATATTTGGATTGCTTGATAACATACACCAAAGACTGTTCATCAGAAAAGAGATATGGCAAGATCAGGTAGACAGAGTATGCTTACTGGTTAACATCAGTCAGTCTTGGTGTCAGCAGTGACAACATTGCTGGCACAATGGGTACATGAACAGAGAATCCATGGTGTTAGGGACAAAAGCAATGTATGTATCCAAGGGTGTGGGTTTGCACGTATCTGCTGCTTTCACTTGTCCAAATGCCAGAAAAAGAAACTAACGGTGAGTCTCTATAACAGTATTAACTGTAAGGGAAACCAATGGTCCATATGGTGGCAAGTTGACTATATTAAACCCCTACAACTATGGAAGGGGAAATATTATTTTGAAAGTATTAAATACACATTCTGCACCAGGATTTGCCTCTTGCCAGCAGGTCTTTTGTCAGACTTATTATTTGTCAGACAGAGTGTTTGATCTTTTGGCATGGATACCACATAATGTCACATGTGAACAAAGGATCCATTTTATAGCAAAGAAGATGTGGGGATAGGCCCATCATGACATGACTCATTGGTTTTATGACTTTCTATTCCACCCAGAATCTGATGGCTTGATAGAAACATTTTGCCTTTTCCAGGATACATGGTACATGTTAAATTGATGACCTTTAAATGATGTGACTATCCCAATAGGTAGAATCTGTAGGTCTGGAAACAAAGTGGTGGAAACATGAGGAACTCTGCTTCTCAGTGACCCACTTTAGGAAATTTGTGGTTCTCATTTATTCCGCTCTGGGATATGTAAGTCTAGAGATTCCAGTTCCCAAAGGGTGAATGCCACCAAAAGACATAGCAAGAGTTACACTGAAATATAAGCTACAACTATTACTTTGTGCTTTGGGTTTCACATGCCAAGGAAAAAAGAAAGAAGACATGTTATTACCATTGTGGAAGAGAGAAATTATGCCTATCATTAGGAGAAATTAAGACATCTATTACCCAATAGCATCATAGACAGGTAGGCTTGGCAGAGAAGTAATCTCCTTGTAGATCTCTTGGTACTCTCTTACCTTATTTTGATAATAGATGAGCAAATGCAGCAGCCACAGCTTGAGATATATGTAATGAATAGAAGCTCTGAACCTTCACAGATGAGGGCAACACCAACAATAAGCTACCAAGACCAAAAACATACTCCTTTAGGGTATGAGGAATCTAGCATAGATTGTAGAGGATAGTGATAAGGGGAATTCCATAGCTGAAACCCGTTAAATGACAGAAGCAGTCATTCATCCCACTAACCTGAATTTCCCCCAGAAGAAAAGTCCCACCACAATCCTGGAGGAACTACTCTCATATTTGGTGACCTTTTATACAAGTCAAGTAGAACAGAGCTGTTGAAGGAGTAGACTGTGATGGATGATTTGATATGCCATCTAGAATGCCTTTTGGGAATGAAGGACCATAAATGTTGCCTGCAGAAAGCTCTAAATTTCCGGCCCCAAGAATTGCTTGGACTAAAGATAACCTCTTTGCTCAGATCACACTTCCTCCCTGGGGCTGCTACATCAAATTACTAACTGACATAAGAGTAGCAAGGTCCAGCCTTTCTTTTTACCCAATTTGGGAAAATTTCAAAGACTTACCTTAGCTTCATAATTCCCTGTAGTGTTGGTTATAGCTTTCTTTGAGACTATAACACTGGTCAGCTTCTTCCTCTGCACAATTCTACTTTTTCTTCCTGTTCGCAGGTGCTGATCCCAGGAGAAAGCCCTAATAAAATCTCTGCACACGTATTTATCTGAAAGATAGATGCTTTTCAGATAACACAATCTACACCTGCCACAAAATACACACAGTCTATCCATGGCCGATACAATTTTTCACCAAACACAAATTAAGACATGCAAAAATATGGCTTTCTTCATTTTCCTATAACTAACCTTAGTGCATTTTGGTTGGAAAAGGGAATCAAGCTAAAATGTCAAAGCAGAAAACCTAATTTAGTCATTTCCATTAAAATTTATTCGTATTTTTATTTCTTATTCATTGCAAGACAAATTCTAAATTTCTTTCTTTCTTCTCTTTATATGTTAAGTTGATTCTAACTTCTAAGGTTAATATGAGTTTTGAGTGTTCTTGAACTCTCCTACACAAATATCTGCTAATATATTCAATTATCCATTGTGACTTTGGGTCTTTATCATACCTACTTTTAGCTGTTGATATTCCCCCACTGGGGAGGTGTTGGGAGTAGGGTGCTTCACTGAATCTATTATGCCTTTTTCTGACCTCCTATTCATACGGTCCACTTTAATATCTGAGGCTAAAATCACTTGGTCATAATCAGGAGATCCCTTCCAGCTGCCAATTTTCTCCTCCAGCAATCTTGCTTGTCATTTTCAGGGACATGAAATATTTCTCCTGGACCTCTTGTCCTTTACAGGCCCTGGGGGGCTCAGGTTGTCATCATGCCCTTTCCGGTCCTGATTTCAGATGCATTCCTCTCTATTCTCTTGCCCTTGCCTAGTCAGAGGACCTAGTGTCCCTTCAGTGATAGCCACACTCCCAGATTTCCAGTTCCAGAAGGCAGCATTAGGGGTGGATACCCATGGATTCCGACCTTCCTCCACAATTGTAGCTAAAATGTGGAAGGCAAAGGGTCTGTCATAATGATGTCAAATTGTCTGTTTATTGTCCACAGTACACAAA